AGACATGGCATCAAAAAGCTCTGGGTCACCAAGTCCTGCAGAAGTGCCTCGAAGGCACCTGAAACAGAAGAGCCCTGGGAATGCCCTGGGACATCAAGTCCCACAATGTGGCCTGGAGGGGGCATGGGGCATTTGGAGAGCTGCCAGAGGGAGCAACTTGCCCAATTTCCCCTGAGAAGTGTTCCCCTTCCCGCCACACTGTGCTGGCCTCAAAGGCTGAGAGGGCCCATCAAACCCAGCCTGAGGGCCCACACAATCCGTACCCACAGGCTGCTTACTTCCACAGAGAAAACTCCCTCCTCAAGAATGACCAGGCTGACATCATCGACCAGGCACTGAACAGGTGTGGTGTCCGTGTCTGTGATGCCCTCAGTCCCTGGGGTGTCAGCCTTGGCCTGGAGCTCAGTTGGGCTGGGTTCAGGCTGTGCCAAGACCTTGGGTGGTGAGGTCCTGGCCTTCCTACGCCTAACGGGAACGGATTTCCACACCCTCTGCAAGAGAACAAAGGGAAGGGAAGAGAGGGATGTGTCATGGAGAGCTCTGACAGCGGTGCCAGGCTGAGCAGGGACAGCAGGCCCAGCCCACTGGGCGATGGCTGCAGGTACCTGATCATCTCTGCGGGAGTGGCCACGGGCACGATCCTTCTTTTGTGTCCTGTGCCGGCCTGGATCTGGCAAAGAGTGAGCGTGGTCAGAGCTGAGGGGCTGTGGGACAGCCCAGAGAACACAGCCCAGCCCTGCGCTCCACAGGCAGAGCCAGCCCTGGGATGCCCAGTGCATGGAGCTGCCTGGGGATCAGCCACGGGCCCTCTTCCCCCTCCCTATCCCTGGTCATGTCCACAGGAGATAAGATGGGATGGGATGGAATGGGATGGGATAAGGCCCATCTGGCTGCAGCCACCAGCCCTGTAGCCCAGCTTTGCCACTCACCCTCCTGCAGGGGCTGGGACTGCTCTGCCTGTTCAGGCTGCTGTGCTCCGGTAGCCACAGGGCTTTCTTCCTCCCCCTTCTTCACCCAGGCCAGCTTGGGCACCCTGGGGGGTCTCTGTTCCATGTCTCTGAGTGGATATTTGGCTGCCTGCAGGAGAGATGGCACAGAA